TGAATCGTAATGTAAATATCTGTGTTTTCTGATGGTCTTAAGTGATCCTACTAGTGGTTCTCAACCTGTTGCAACCCATAGGATGAGAACTGCTGCTGTAGAGTCTAAGACCATCGGAAAACACAGATATTTACATTACGATCCATAACAGTAGAAAATTACAGTTATGAAGTAGCAACGAAAATGATTTTATGGTTGGGGGTCACCACAACAGGAGGAACTGTATTAAAGGGTCGCGGTATTAGAAAGGTTGAGAACCACTGCCTCAGAATGATCTGTGCTCCATGGTCTTTTTCTGCCGCTGCTTCACCTATTGCTACTCCTGGTGCCTAGCATTTCATAGCCTGCTGTTTCAGGCATGTTTTCCCTGACCCCATGTTCTGGCCCATACTTCCACCACCACTCTTCAGAAATGTCTTTCCAAGGTCAACAATGACATCAAACTCAGCCAAGTTCAAGTCCTGGCTCCATTATTATTTGCCAGTCTCAGACCTCATCTTTATTGACTTGGATGTCCAGCACCCCTTCTTAAATCCCGTCCTGTTTTTAAGTCCCGGGCACTACCCAGAGACCACGCCTCCTAAGTCTTTCCTGGCTGCTCCCACCTGTGCTAAGCCTAGGCCCCTGCTCCTATCTCCTGGCCCTGTGTGTCCTGGGATACTTTGATACCTCTAACTTCATCCCTCACCTCTCCCTCTGTCCTCAGGCATCTTGGAACAGCTGTGGGACAGCCCACTTTGGTATCCTACTGTCACCTCATGCTCAGCATGACTAAAATTCATCCAGCAATTACGTGTTGAGAACCTATGAAGCCAATCTGTTCTCGTCCTTGGTCAGTAAAAGTTCTCGGTCCAAGTGCCATCGATGAATGCATGGGTACATAAAGTGAAGGACAGCCATGTAATGGAGCATTAGTCAGCCTTTAAATGGAAGGGAATTCTGACACATCCTACAACATGGATAAACCTAAACACATACTAAGTGAAATAAGCCACTCAGAAAAAGGCAAATACAATATCATCCCACCTTTATGAGGTACCTATAGGAGTCAAATTCGTAAAGACAGAAAGACAGAAAGTAGTACCAGGGCTGAGGGGGAGGAGGAAAGGGGAGGTATTGTGTAATTGCTACAGAGCTTATGCTTTTTTGTTTTGTTTTGTTGTTTTTTTTTAAAAAAATATTTTATTGATTTTTTACAGAGAGGAAGGGAGAGAGATAAAGAGCCAGAAATGTCGATGAGAGAGAAACATCGACCAGCCGCCTCCTGCACACCCCCCCACCCATCCCATTCAGCATCTGGCACTGACCTAAGCCATTTTACTTTATTTTTTAAAATATATATTTTATTGATTTTTTACAGAGACGAAGGGAGAGAGATAGAGAGCCAGAAATGTCGATGAGAAACATCGACCTGTCGCCTCCTGCACCTCTCCCACGAGGATGTGCCTGCAACCAACATACATGCCCCTGACCAGAATTGAACCTGGGACCTTTCAGTCCGCAGACCAACGCTCTACCACTGAGCCAAACCGGCTTTAGCCAGAGCTTACATTTTACAAGATCTAAAGACTTCTGGAGTTGTATGGTGATGATGTAATTGATTGTTTCAATTATAATGAAGGAGACACTGTCCTCATGGAGCTTACATGCTGGAGGCAATGCTGTGATTGCTACCCTGTTTCCCCGAAAATAAGACAGTGTCTTATATTAATTTTTTCTCCCAAAGTTGCTCTAGGTCCTATTTTAAGAGGATGTCTTATCTTTCCATGCGCTAGGTCTTATTTTCGGAGGATGTCTTAATTTCTGGGAAACACGGTATCCCAGAAGCTCAGTCCCAAATGCTCATCCCTCGCATTGCCATTCTCCAGCTTGTCCTGTGGGCACCTCATCCTCTTCTCCCCCCATATCCACATCCTCTCCATCTTCCTCCTTAAAGCATTTGTCTCAGTCCTTCCTCCTTCCCAGAGTCTCCATTTCCACCAGCTCTTCATGTTGGATAGACAAACTCGAGGACGTGGGAAGACACTCAGCAGTGCCGGGGTCCAATGCCGGCTTCACCACTGGCTCAGAGTGAACCCGCACAGGAGCTTTAATCCCCTCGCCCGCTGTAGGAAGAGTTTTTCGGGACCCTCATGAAGACACCTTCTGCCTCTCACACAGGGTGAGTCTCTGCTTCGCCCTCCCCGGCCCGGCCTTGCAGGTACTCAGCAGCCAGAGAAGCAAGGCCTCTTTCAGGAGGAGAACCAGCCAGGGCCACGGCTCCCTCCAAGTGCTCCTTGGCTCTCTTTCCTGCCAGCCTGAACTTTCCCTGCTTGCAACCTTGTGACGCTGCATTACCTGCCCTTGGATTGTGCCAGCCCTGCACCGCCGCGGGGACCTCTTCTGACCTGACTGCCCGTAACTGAGACAGCCTCGTCCGCTGACAGTAGATCTTGCTCTGCTACCACCAATCGGGCTTCCTGGTGGCTGTGCAACAAGGATGCTGCTGACTGGACTCTGGCTTCTTCCTGGCTGTCACTACGGCCCCTACTGACGTGCCAGTCCTGGCCCTGGTCCTTGCAGTGTCCTCTGAGTTCACCCTGCTGCAAGCTGGGTTTCCAATCTGCCTGTGATGGAGTCATTCACTCCACAAATGTCCACTATGATGTCCAGTCCATGGCAGGCACTGTCTAGGCAAGAGATTCATCGTGATGGGACACAACTGCTTCTCATATCAGCGGCCCCCTGCCGCCAAAACAGGCTTCCCTGGTCAAGGAAGACTTCATCCAAGTCAAAGTCGTTCACTCCACAGGTATTGATTGAGCATTCATTGCATGCCAGGCACTATTTCAGGCATTCTGATAAAATACCAATTTTCTACGTAGCACACTGATTACAGAGCATGAGCTCTGTGGCAAGAATCTGTTACCCAACCTTCAGTAATTACAAAAGCCCTCTGAGCCTCGATCCCTCACTTGAAAATGGGGCATAACGGTCACTAAATGGTAAGATTGTCTGAGGAAAAAATGAGATCGTCCGTGTAAAATGCTTAGAACAGTGTATGGCACATAGCAAGCACTTGAATATCAATAAATTTTATTTTTATGCTTCCTAACTATGCCAAGAACTTCAAGAGTCCTTGTCCCATCCTACCCAACCAATATCTCAATAGTGCCTTCGTAGGTAAGTACTGACAGACAGAATGAAGCCGAAACACCAACGTTGCTAATAAAGAAGATACCTGTGTGAGGTCACATAGAATCCTAATGCTTTCATATGGGTTACCCTGGGGGATGTCATTAAAGTTATGGATACCAAAAGCTTTTGAGAGGAAAAAACTAGTTGCAATAACATACATTCAACAATATATGAAGAACTTCCTATAAACCAATAAGAAAAAGACAGGCAGCCTGATAGAAAAATGAGCAAAACATTGGAAGAGGCACTTCACAAATAGCCAATATCATGGAAATGCAAGTTCAGACCAAGTCCAATATGACTTCATTCCTACCAGGATGAGGACAATGAAAACAAAAGGTAATACCAAATATCAGCAAGGACATGGAGCAACCAAAACCTTTCTACGTTGCTAATAGTCGTATTAGTATAATCAGTACAACTGCTTTGGCATTATCTACCTGTGCCAAGCATATCTACACATATCTACGTGTGTATGTACAAAAATAAAAATATGCATTCACTGAAAGATATATTCCAACATATTCATAGCAGCACTGTTTGTAATAGTCAAAAATCTGTACACAGCTCAAACACTCATCAACCATACAACAGATAATCAATTGTGGATTAATAAAATGGAATACTATACAGTCCCAAGAATGGGAAACTACAATGACACACATCATGGATGAATGCCACGAAATAAGAAGTGAAAGAAGTCAGACACAAAAGAGAACACACTGTGTTATCCTTATTATACAAAGTTGAGAAGCAGGCAAAACATCTGTGACTCTAGCAGTTGAAATAGTTGTTACCCTTGGAAGGATGGTTAGCAACTAGGAAGAAGAGCGAGGCATTTTGCGGGAGGAGGAGGCCTGGTAACGTTCTATTTCTTTGCTTGACCTGGAAGCTGCTTACAGATTGTGCACATTTTGTGCTCAACACTTAGGATTTCTCCACTTTTGTTCTGTATGTATTATATGTTAAGAAAAAATATTCGGGGGGGCTGGGGATAAATTTTTTTTTTAAACTAGGAAATATTGGTTTATCCAAATGGATTGTTGCCAATAGATTTTTTTAAAAATTTTAAATATATTTTATTGCTTTTACAGAGGGGAGGAGAGAGGGATAAAGAGCTAGAAACGTCGATGAGAGAGAAACATCCACCAGCTGCCTCTTGCACACCCCCTACTGGGGGTGTGACCGCAACCAATGTACATGCCCTTGACTAGAATCGAACCTGGGACCTTTCAGCCCACAGACCAATGCTCTACCACTGAGCCAAACCGGTTTCGGCAGTTGCTAATATATTTTAATTTTTGCGCCTCCATGAAATCTAAGACACATTTCTGATCGCTTTCCTACTGCCTTTCCATAAATGGCAGAGATCTTACTCTCTAAAACTCCAAACCCATATAAAATAAACACATTTTCAACACTCCAAATTAATTTATCAAGCTTTATGTCCTAAGAGGCTGAGTCTGAAAATGTATTTGGGTTTTGTAGATGCATGTTGCAATATGGAGTCATTTTGAGAAACAATATTTTTTAATGAGAAAAAAAAAAAAAAAATGGGGGGGCCAGGAGGGAAGGGAGTAAAAATCAAGAAGATGGAGGAGCCGAACCAGTTTGGCTCAGTGGATAGAGCGCCGGCCTTCGGACTGAAAGGTCCCAGGTTTGATTCTGGTCAAGGGCATGTACCTTGGTTGCAGGCACATCCCCAGTGGGGGGTGTGCAGGAGGTGGCGGATCGATGATTCTTTCTCATGATGTTTCTAGCTCTCCCTTCCTCTCTGTGAAAAATCAATAAAAAATACATTTTTTTTTAAAGAAAAAGAAAAAAAGAAGATGGAGGAGAAAACACAGCTCCAAACCAGCAGCCCAGGGCTTACATTTCCAGTAGCTGCCAGAGCACTGCAGTGACTCTGGGCCTGGAGGCCAGGAAGTCCAAGCAGAAGCCAGGGACTCAAAGACAAAGTCAGGATCTGGAAGCAAGATGGTAACTGAGTTAAGGAGTCTCAGAGACCCAGGCAAAAGAGCCCCGAGCGCTTGTAGATAACTATAGGCTACTGAGAGGTTAGGAGGGGCGTGATCTGACTTCCTGACCCCGGGCAGGAAATAGTGGCTGGGTGTGGGCAGCCCTGGTTACATAAGGAAGTGACTTCAGCCGATCTTGGAGTAAGAGGATGTGACCCCGGGTGGGCTCAGACCTGCCAGCAGGATGAGCAAGTTGGTTCTTTCTCTGTTGGGTGTGACTTGCTAAATACACACACATTTGCCTGTACAATCCTATCCACTCAGATGTTTACTATCACTGAACAGGACTTCGGAGGCTTCTGGCCTTGCAGCCAACTCCAACAGCAGTAGCCAAGAACCTGGCTCCCGAGCTTACAACCATCATCTTAGTCCTTTCCATTGGAATAAAGGAAGCAGCGAACATCAGGATTTGCCAATCTAATCAGCCCCCAACCCCATGATGGCCACCAACAAAGGAAGACGGAAAACTCAGAATTTTAAATAAAAATGTAAAAAACAAAATAGGTAACGCCAACATCATTTGTATTTATCTAAGTACCTTGGACTCATTAAAAAAAAACAAAAAAACGGTACTAATGTCACTCATGGAAATTGAGTGACTGTCACTCATGGAAATTGAGTGACTGTCAGGTCAGGGGCAGGGGGAGACGATGTCAAATGCCCAGACAGCCTGGTCTTACCTTGCCTTCTGCTCTGCAAGCTCCTGTGACGTCATGGCCACCACCTCTTCTTTCCCACATCACACAGGTCTGCTCACAGTGACATCACGCCTTCAAGGTGACATCACAACCGAAGAGCCCAGGTAGTGAGGTCACACAGGAAGAACCTTGAAGCTGGTCCTGAAATGTAAAAAGTCAGTGCATTCTAGAATCCATACATAGCTCCTCCCTTCCCACCACCACCCCCATCTAGAGCAGGGATGGGGAACCTTTGTTCTGCCGAAGGGCCATCTGCATATTTGTAACATCATTCTCCGGCCATACAAAATTATCAACTTAAAAATTAGCCTGCTATATCTGGTCAAACATTTAACGACTCGTCCCTAATGCATTGGGAGGGCCCAGACAAAATGATTTCACAGTTCTTATATGGCCCACGGGCTGGACACTCCCCACCCCTGATCTAGAGTAAGCTAAGCCCCGTGCTTTGGAAGACTTCTCATTTCTGGCCTTAAAGAGCCTCATCAATTGCAGGCGGCCAGTGTTGGCAGATGAGATGCCCTGGGCTGCTGAGGTATCTGGCAACAGGTCGGAAGTTTTGTCTGGGAAGCAACATCATGTTCTCCAGGGCAACGAGTATGTGTTTGTTTCCTACATGTCAGAGAACTTAGCAATTGGAACTCAGTTCTGCAAGGCAGAGCAAAAACCTCAGCGACAGGGAGAATGAAGGAAACCGCTGCAGGCTAGACTCCTCTCACTTCTACTTTCACCTGAATGGAAGTTGCCCTTCAAGTCCCTATCAGATGCATCAACATCTAAATATGCTAACCTCTGCCGAAACCGGTTTGGCTCAGTGGATAGAGCGTCAGCCTGCGAACTGAGAGGTCCCAGGTTTGATTCTGGTCAAGGGCATGTACCTTGGTTGCAGGCATATCCCCAGTAGGGGGTGTGCAAGAGGCAGCTGATAGATACTTCTCTCTCATCGATGTTTCTAACTCTCTCTCTCTCTTCCTCTCTGTAAAAAATCAATAAAATATATTTAAATTAGCCGAAACCGGTGGGGCTCAGTGGATAGAGCGTCGGCCTGCAGACTAGAAGGTCCAAGGTTCAATTCCAGTCAAGGGCATGTACATACCTTGGTTGCGGGCACATTCCCGGTAGGGGGTGTGCAAGAGGCAGCTGATCAATGATTCTCTCTCATCGGTGTTTCTAACTCTTTATCCCTCTCCCTTCCTCTCTGTAAAAAATCAATAAAATATATTTTTAAAAATATTTAAATTAAATAAATAAACAAACAAATATGCCAACCTCATAGCATATTTAGGCGCTCCAGGGACACCACCGCATGGAGCATGACTGAGCTGGGATGACATGGGAAGCTATACCATGTGAGGTTAGGAAAAAAACCACTGAAAACACAGTTTCCTAAGACACCGTAAATGCTGAGGGTAGGGCAGGCAGGGGGACGAAGGGACAGAGCAGTGGCCAGACAGCTCTGAGGTCATTTCCAGTAGGAGCAGGGATTGGGAGGAAATGGCCTCTCCGGGCCTTTGCTACAAGACTGCTTCCCTGGAGCAGGGTTTCTCGAGCTCAGCACGACAGACATTTTGAATGGGACAGTTCTTTTTTGTGGGCAGAGCCGCTCTGTGAATTGCCTGATATCCAGCAGTATCCGTGGCCTCTATCACCGTGTAACAACCGAAAATGTCTCCGGAGGTGGCCTGGGGCAAAATTGCCCCTCGCGGAGAATCACTGCCTTAGAGGAACAAATCATGTCTCATAGAGGCAAGACCCCAGCCCTGGCCAACGTGTGATCATCCACCTTGGAAAAGGCTAAGAAAGCAGAGCCTGGTCACAACATCCTTGGGCATTAAAGCAACAGAGCTCCCCAAGCAAACCATCATCATCGGATCCAAGTGGGAGGAGGAGGAGGACGTCCAGGAGGAAAAGACGTTCTGTCTCCAATTCCACAAAACCCACCTCCTCCCAGCTACATCCCACATCAAAGGACAGCTGACCAGAGAAACCCCCAACTATCAAAAGTCAGTCTCACAGCCCCACCCCAGCCACCCCGCATTCTCATTCATGTCGACGGCTGGGCATACAAACACCATGTACATGGCTAAACTTCTGGGAGGAGGCAACAGACAGCTCAGATCCTCAAAACCTTGTTCCACTAACTACCCCAACTCTTCCCTTTGCTCCACTCATCAACCTTGACCAGAGGGTTTCCTAGGATACCAGATGCTCTAAGAAAAATTGACCAAAGCTCAGGTTTTGCTCCGCAGAGCCTTGGAAATCAAGGCAGGAGGACTCGTCAAGGGGCAGGGAAGGATTTGGAGGCCAAGGAGAAGGAACTGAAGACAATTCCAGACACGTGGAGGAGGGACAGGTGGAAGACGGAATCCAATGGGCAGTGGGCGGAGCCACGTCTGGAAGGGGCAGGGCCTGGGCCACCCCCAGAGGCAGGCTGACAAGCTCCAGGCTTTAGAACTTGTGCAACCACAGACTTGCCCCAGCAGAGTGGAGGACGCTGGCTGCGGGGCTGACTATAAATCTCGTCCACCGGGGGCTGGGTTTGGCTCCCTACGGGCTGGCCCCCCACCAGCTACAGTTTTGCTAAATTTAGTGCTGTTCCCGAGTCACCGAAACGACACTGCTCTTCGTGTCCATTTCAGGTTCAGCCGGGGACAGGAGGAGAGGAGCACGACTTGTCCAGAAGCAATCTGCCCTCCCGTGACCTCTCCCTTCCCCGCTGAAGACAGGGGCCCCGGGGAGCAGAAGATGTGAGAAACCAGTGGGAGGTCCCTAGGCTCGGCCAGCAGGCTCTGCCCCGAGACGGCACCCAGAGAGGAATGGGGGCACAGATTCCAGGAGCACAGCCTGCCCCACCCCATCTCCATTCTTGAGGAGTGCCAGAGCCTGTCTGTGGGGGTGGGGGTGGGCTTGCCTGCTCCCTCGATGAGAGGCTGGAGTGGCTCCCCGTGGAATGATGGGAGACCCGAAGACGCCCTCAGGAGGCCCCTCTCTCTTGGAGATAGAAATGTATTCGATCGAATATTCACAGGCGCCCAAACTCACAGGCGATGGTGGTGGTTTCTAAACCGGGTTGCCTGCTGAAACCACCCCCGAAGCTTCAAAAACAACTGCAGCGCTGCAGTAACCACGCACGGTGCCAGGTGGGTACTGGGAATACCCTTTGTAAAGAATCTGACTGTCTAACCACGACGCTGTACACCTACAACCAACACGAAATAATCCTGGGAGTAAAGTGTAGTGAAAATGAAACACACACACACACACACACACACACACACACACATACCCCGATGCCCAAGTCCCATCCCCCTAGACGCTGTGATGAAATTGGACTGGGGCGTAAAGCAGTTGGCCCAGGCTTTGGAAAAACTTTAAAAGCTGCTCTGGTATTCCAATGTTGAGACAAGTTAGGGGAGCAGTAGGTGAAGACCATGGGCGTCTGCCTTCAGGCTGCCAGGGGTGAGGGTGAGGCAGGGGAGGTCCTTGCTAGGTGACCTGAGGCGAGTTATTTAACCTCCTCTGCCTCAGTGGCATCCACTGGAGAACGCACGTGACCATGCAGAACACCTGTGTGAGAGCAGGGCCTTCACCAGACAGTAAGGCCCACAGAACATGGGTAGCGGTAAATGCTCCATACGAGCCAGGAATCACGGTCGCCGCTGTTATAAGATAAAGAGGAGAAGAGAGAGGGCCCCAAGCACTCTCTCAGTGCTGTCCGAGGATGAAGCGTCTTCAGGACTGAAAGTGGGGCTATTCTCAGGGGTGGGAGGGGACGGGGCTCCTCGGCCCCTGTACTTTAGAAGACTACCCACTCTCCCTCCCTCTGTTTGCGCTGGGCCTCCCCCTCCATGTCCTCCTCTCTCCCCATCCTTCTAGACCCCACCCTCCAGGGCCCAGCTCTGGGAACCCAGGGACCGCCTCCTTCCCAGGTCCCAAATAATACTTCCCTGTGCCTGGAATGTAGGAACTGTGTCATTTGCTACCCGGAACAGCTACCAACCAAGTAAGTCTCTGCCTATGGCAGTGGTCGGCAAACTCATTAGTCAACAGAGCTAAATATCAACAGGACAACGGCTGACATTTATTTGGAGAGCCAAATTTTTTAAACTTAAACTTCTTCTAATGCCACTTCTTCAACATAGACTCGCCCAGGCCATGGTATTTTGTGGAAGAGCCACACTCAATGGGCCAAAGAGCCACATGTGTCTCGCGAGCTGCAGTTTGCTGACCACGGGCCTATGGGATAACTGAACACTTTGCTATGTCTCCTCAAAGAGGCCATGAGCCGTTTGGGGAAGGCCCTCATTCTCACGTTTCCATTTGTCCCCGACGGCCCCCAGCACTGTCCCAGACACCCAGTCCTTGGTTAATAAAGATTGTTTGTGGAATGGAAACCTATGTGGAGCCAGAAGAGCTCACTGCACACGAGCAAGGAGCCAGGCTCGGTGCCCAGGAGCAGCAGGACCAGCACTGAAGGTCATGGGCTTCTGGACCCTCCGCCTCCTCCTTCCCAGAACAGACCCCGCCTCTTTCCATCCCAAGAGACAGACCCCACCCAGGATCTCTAAGTGCCTGCAGCAAAATACATGTTGGCCAAACCACTCTGCTCCCCGGGACCCTGCTATTCCCAGGCCTCAACGAGGGAGGCCACGTGTCTAGTGGCTTCTGCCCTGAAGCCACCGACCCCCAGGATTCCCTCAACCCAACTATAGCAGCCGGCCGAGCAGAGCCGAGGCTGCCCATATGGATGTCCAGAGCAGCTGGGCGCTGACCGGCTGTAAGCCTCTTACAGATTAAAGGTCCCAATTTAAACCTCCGTTTGAGGCAGGACAAGTGGGTCAGCGTGCGCAGGCCGGCCGGCACAGTTGGTGGAAGGAGAAGCAGCGGAGATCCCAGAGACTCCTCCCAGAGGGCGAGAGATCCAGGTTGGATCATTGATGGGGAGAAAGCTCATGACATCCCACCAGGAACCTCCCCAATGTCTAAACGCCAACCTCCCTCCCAATGAGCCCGAGAAATAGAACAACAGGATGAGATAGGAAGGCGAGATGGCCTTCCTCTCCCAGTCCTGACCTGAGGTGGAAATAGCTAAAAAAAAAAAAAAAAGTCAGGAAACGGCCCTAACTGGTTTGACTCAGTGG